CCCCACTCAAACTGAAAAGCAGCAGCAACTCAGGCTTCTGTCTGCATTGAACAGCTGGTAAGAAACAAGGTAATCCAGGGGGCAGCTTCCCGAGAGACTGGCAAACAGAAAAGAACCGGGAATCGCATCTAAGTGTGTGCTGGGGCGGCGTGGCAGGAGGGGGAATCAGCTGGCAGCTTTATCGCTCTCCCCGTTCTCAATCAGTTTCCTTTTCTTCTCATCCGTTTTCCTCTTGAAGATGTGGTCTCTGTAGAACTGGAGTTCTTTGATGCTTTCCCTGATGTCATCGAGTGCTCTGAAAGAGAATTAAGGAAGGTTTCAAGGCACCTGTGTGCACCTCCAGCTACACCTGGATCCCAACACCACTGAAAACTTCCAGGCTGCAGGAAACCAAACTGATGTGTATGGATGGTGCACCTGTCAGACTCTCACCTTCCCATTTGCAGTTCTCCAATTTTAGTGTCTCTGTGACCAACTCTGCCTCAAAACAAGGGCAGATAAACCCCTGCTAAGAGACTGAAGGGATAAGGAAACTTCTGGTTCTCTGGATTTTAATAATCCCTTTCCCTACACTATCCAGGCTTCAGACAGGATACAAATGTCTGACAGGGAGCAGAAGCACACAGCCTCCACCTGCATCAGACTCAGGATGCTGAAACAGGGAGCCCTGTATCCTGCTCCAGAAGAGCCTGGTTCCAGAGCCCTGCTGTGTCATAGACAGGAGCACAAAGCTCACCTGTGAGAAGCTGCCTTCTTTGGTGCAAACTCATATTCCTCTGGATACCAGCGCCTGCAAGTGGAAAAATTAGAAAGGAAACTGGGATTCAAAACCATGTCTGCTGGCTGCTGCAGGTTTGTTACACGTGGTGAAAGGATTTTGGTTCACTGACACCCAAAGAAGCCACAGCTCTGTGACTCCCCCTGCTACAAACTGCAGAGCCCCAGCACCACGAACAGGCATCCCCACGGTGTCCTTCAAACCACTTAATTGGGGGAACACTTACCTGCAAAGTTCCTTGACAGTGCTCACATCAACGATCCTGTAATGAAGGTGCCTCATGAACTGCGGCATGTATTTGTCAAGGAATTTCTTATCTGCATGAACAGAGTTACCTACAAAGACACAAAACAAGATGTTTCTTCAAAGACGCTACAGAGCGACATGGAAACGAGCGGCAGGATGAGCGAGCTGGGAGAGATCACAGGGGAGGAAAAGCCATTCACAAGCAGCTCATTTATCCCATTTTCTAGTAAATATGATTGTGAAGGTTTGTCAGATTTTCATTGCAGGATCACACGGGGTTTAAATACTAATACCTCTAGTAATTCCTCTGTTACTACTCCCACAATTTCTGTCACACAGATAAATATCAAAGAACCATTCGAACGTCGGGTTTTCCGCCAAGTGAAAGCGGCCATTGGTATTAATTTCACTCAGCACCCATCCCAAGACTGTATCTGAACATTCTGAACACAGTTACAGGTAGCAGGACACCTGGAAAATCCATATTTGGCCTTTGGCTGGATGCCCAGTGAGGAAAAGGTGCAGCATAGAACACGAGCACATCCCTACCACATGCGTCGGCAGGTGTTTGCATCCAGCTGGGGGTGCAGGAGGGATGAAGCTGTTGTTGTTAAGAAAGAAGATGCTTCACCTGCGAGAGGACAGAGCCCTGGGGGTGTCTGCTGCCGCACGAAGGACAGGAACTCGTACTCTGCTTGCTGCAATGAGATTTTACTCTCCTTCACAGCCTTAGTAAGGCCAGACTGCAAAAAAGAGCCAAGTCATAAATCAGAAACACCCTGCCACAGACACTGTCAGGAACGCTCCAGTTCTCAAGTAAATGTTTAACTCTACAGCAAAAGGTCATCCCTTCAAGTGCAGTTTGTTCCCCAGGTAATTCTTGAACTGTGTTTCTGTTCTCTGGGACACCCCCAGCCTCAATTCTCCCCAGGAACCTCCTGCTTGGCAAGTAAAACCAAGGCAGGTATATAGTCCTGGCAGCACTGACCTTCCTGTGAGGGTTGGGGCTTTTTCTTGTATTTCTTTCTCGAAGCTCTTCTCAATTACTGAGACATGAGGCCTCATTTATCCACCTGCCCGTCTGTGACCCAGGAGAGCATTACATCCCTTTACATCCCTGTTTCAGGAGAGGCACTCACCTCCCCAGCAGAGAGCAGCAGGTATCAGTGAACACAAGCAACCAGGATCCTGCCTTAAGTGTTTATCAAGATTCCTATAAATCAGAAAAATTCCTCCCTTCTTTTTTTTTCAATAGTTAAATGTCAAATCCTCTCCAAGTGTTCTCAGTGATTTATTTCCATCTGGCTACACTATATATTTCCATGACTGTGCTGCAAAAATCTACTTGACAGATCCAAGTGGTGGTTAAAAAATTCATTATGTGGCTGCATTTTCATCTATATTCTAATTGCTTCTCTTCTCTTAGTCAATTAAAAATAAGTAGCTCCTCAGGAGCAACGAGGACACGTGTTACCATCTCCAATTCACTCCCAAGCTGAAGCTGAGCTGGAATCCTCAACTGGAGCAGGGAAAAGCACCCATCACAGTAAATTAATATTCATTTTCCAAACTCCTGCTAATCCTTCCCACAGAGAGTGAAATGCCGAAGGGGGGGGAAAGGAGGGATATGGGTGTCTTGAAACTTCAGCCCTTAATTGAAAACTAACTCAAATTTCAATTCATTCATCAGGGATTGGAAAATCCATTTGCTCTCTTGCTGCTGGCAAGGAGGAACCTTTCTTTGGTGGCCCAAGGAACTAAAAATAATCTCTTGCTGCAAAAGTGATGCTTTTGGTGAAAAAATGCACGAGGTTCCCAGTGCTGAGGGGACAGGCAAAAATAACATCCCAGTGTTTACAGGCCTGTTTAATCCCACATATACCGAAATCTGCATGCAGAAATCTGCATTTCATCAGCTCTGGACTGTTCTGCACTGATCCTGCACCTGTTCTTACTTGGGCCTTCGAGCCTCACCTTCCCCTTCTCATCTGGAATTAGTCTTTGAATTATTTTATGTCCGATGGAAGAGGATTCACCGGGAGGAGCTGATGGAGGAACCCACCCAACCCAGCCTACACCAGGACTCCCACAGAGGCAGGACAAGGCATCAGCTCCACAAGAGGACTGGGGAGTCAAACCCCAACTCCCAACCTCACAATGGGAGGAGGAGGCTGAGATCACACCCTGGGGGACAGGAGCCAGGGGCACATCCCTGAGCAACAGCTCCCCTTCCGGGCTCCCCCTGCCTGCTCCAGCCCTCTCAGGGCTGCTGGGTGGTGCTGATGCTTCCTGAGCTCAAGGAAGTAGCTTCCAGCGCTATTCCAACTTATTAAAAACCAGGCTGCAAAGCACAGGCTGCTCTAGGCAAGCTGGAAGATGAAGGCTAAAGATGAAGGCACGATTCCTGAGTGCAGCTTGCTCTGTGCCACAGATCACTTGTGAGACCTTTGGCAAAATGTTTTGCCTCGGCTCCCTGCTACAAAATAAGGATGATACTGTCTCCCGTCCTCCATCCCCTCTGACTTGCAAACTGCTCAGCACAGGAGTTGTCCCTGCTAAGGCGGCCGTGCTGCAGCTGATCGCTCTGAATTACACGTCATTCTCATCTGGCGAAGGCAGAGAAGGGTTTTTACCTTCCCGTGATGCTCCTTGCACCACTCGGACATGCTCTCCAGCAGCTCGTCGGGCTGGTTGATAATCAGGTTCGGGCCCTGGAAAAAAACATGGAACAAAAAAGATAATGGAAGAAAAGTTTAGAAGCGACTAAAAGTTTAGTCCCAAGCACAGGCGGCGCACGGCGCAGTTTCAGCCCTGAGACACGAAGTGCAACGTGACGCAGGTCCCGTCCCCGCGCTCCCGGGATGGGGATCCCCCGCTGCCCGCCCGATGCTTTGTTCCCGCAGCCCCTGGAAGCGGCGCGGGGCCCAGCAGGCCCGTCCCGCCCCTCACCTCGGCCAACACGTTGAGGTCGCAGTCGGTGATCAGACACGCCATCTCCAGGATCTGGTCCTTCTCCACGTCCAGGCCCGTCATCTGCCACGGGGCGAGCGGCCGCGTCAGCGCGCCCGGGGGGCCCGCGCCCCCCTTTCCCGCCCTGCCCGCGCCCCCCGCCGCCCCGCGCCGCCGCCCCGCACCTCCAGGTCCACCCAGACCATGCGCTGCCCCATGTCGCCGCTGGCCATGGCCGCCGCCCGCCGCCGGCCCCGCCACAGCCGCCCGGCGCAGCTCCGCAGGCGGCCCAGGCCGGCGCGGCCGCCGCCCAGCATCGCCGCCGGACTACAGCTCCCGGCGGCCCCCGCGCCGCCGCCCGCGCTCCCCCGGCTGTGGGCGCGCCGCGGAGGCTGCTGGGAGATGTAGTCCCGGGGTGATGCGTGCAGCCCAGCGCGCTCCTCCCCGCCCCGGGGCCGCGCTCCCCGCCCCGAAGGAGGGGGTTCACCCGCCGGCTTTCCCCTGGGAGACTTTAATGCTCTTCTCCAAGGCAATATTGGAATATTCAAAGGGAACATCAGACAATGGGTTCAAATTGAAAGAGTAGGTTTATACGAGACATTGGCAAAAAGTTCTTTACTGTGAGGGTGAGGCACTGGAACAGGTTGCACAGGGATGTTGTGGATGCCTCAGCCCTGGAAGTGTTCAATGTTGTTTGGGGCTTGGGCCAGCCTGGGCTAGTGGAAGGTGTCCTTGCCCATGGCAGTGGGTTGGAATGGGATGAGCTTTAAGGTTCCTTTCAACCCAGACCATTCTGTGATTCTGATTCTGTATCAAAAATGCCATGAGGAATATTGCAGACACCAGGTAGCATCTGTCCTACCTCTGTTCTGCTTAAAAGGCTGGACCTGCCCATCTGACAAAGACAGCCTCCTCTCCTCCAAAAGCACCTATAGCCACGGTTTCTCCCACACTCCATCACGGTGTTTTTCTTTTCCCCATGAAGAGCCCTGAGGTGTGAGTTAACACATTTAAAACTGAGACCAGAGTTTGGCAGGACTGGGCTGCTGATATTTTTACAAACACTAAAAGGTTTTTTTTCACTGGGGGGTTTTTTGCGGGGAAGGCATTTTATACATGTACTCAGTAAGAAACGGGTCGCGTTTGCTTTGCGCTCAGAGTCCGTCAGTGCCGCGACGGGTGCCACTTGGCCTCCCTGTAGCTCTCCCTGCGGTGGTCGTAGTCGTGGCTCCAGCCGTCCCGGTGCCTGTCGTCATAGGGCTCGCCCCGGTAGTGGTGCTCGGCGTCGTGGCCCCTCTCGTCGAAGCCGTAGTCGTCCCGCTTGCCGCGGCCGTAGTCGGGGCCGAAGCGCTCCCGGCCGAAGTGCCGGCTGTCCGGCGGGTAGGGGTGGGCGCCCAGCCGGCCCTTGCGCAGCGCTGGCCCCTCGGGGCGCCGCGGCAAAGGGGAGCCCAGTGGCGGGGCGTGGAAGGCGGGAGGGTAGGCGGGAGGGGCGAAGTTGGGCTGCTCGTACTTGCTGCCGAAATGGGGCTGCTGCCGTGCCATGCTGTTCATCTGGGAGGGGGAGAGAGGAAAGGGAGGGTGGGTTTGGTGCTTGAAGGGGCAGAGAAACACCTAAACCCTGTGCTGGCCTCCAGATCACACTGTAAATACCAGGCGAATGGGACAGGTTGATGGACAAGCAAGACTGAATGGGAATTTACGGAACAGCCATTGCTCACTGCTTCACCCACAGCTGAGCTCCCACAGCTCAGAGCCCTCCTGACTGACACCCTGGATACCAGGAGCTTCAGATCTTCTGGAATTGTCCTTTTGAGGCTCCAAAAGAATATTCCCACAACCTCTCACAATCACAACAGGAAACAAGGACTCCAAAAAGGGGAGGCAGCTCCACCCCATGCTGCCCGTGAGCGTGTGCCATGGACATACCACCGCTTGTCTCTGCAGGCTCGGCGGGAACCCCTCGGTAACCCTCTCGTATCTGCAGGGAAAACAGAGCAGGGATTCCAGCATTAAATACACGACTGCTGCAGTCCAAGGGGCGTCTGCATCCCGGCCGTGTCCCCTCCCTAGGGGAGACAGACCACGGTGCCCTGGGGAAGAGAAGTTGGAGCCAACGAGCTGTGCAGTGCCGCTCTCCACTCCAAGCTCCTGCGCCGGTGGGATTCGTACCTGCTGCAGTTGGAGGCTGGATGTGGCATTCCAGGAGGGATGGCACCAGCAGCTCCGAGGGGGGAACAGGATAGACTGGTGTCCTGGGCTGCATGACTGCTCCCTGGGGAGACACAAATGTTTCAGGAGACCCACAAACACCAGTGAGAGGAACTCGGGTGTGAAGGACATCAACAGCTTTCACAAGCTTCATTTGCTCTCAAGTTTTGTAAGGGATCTGCAAAAGCACATGGGCTAAGTCTCCAAAACAATTCTCACCAGGAAAGGGCAGCGATATTGTGACCACGTGCCTCGTTTAACCACCACGAGATGTGACTTTTAGTGCTCGTGTGATAATTTAGAACAGATCTCAAGGGTACAGAAGGAATAATCAATAACAACCCAAGGAGAAGGCTCAGCCAAGGGCGTTACACCAGCCACAAGGGACAGACGGTCCCTGGTGGAAACACCGGGACAGGAGCATGAGGTGAGCAGAGCAGGCAGGTGAGGGGCCCCTGGGTGAGAGGCACCTGAATGTGCCCAATGAAACACGAATCCATTGGAGGCTGGGGAGCAGCTGACGGCAGCTCACTTTCCCTCCAGGAAAAGGGTGATTTGCGGCCCCTCCAGGGGTACCTGATCGGAACTGGATGCGCATGGGCCGCCCGTACAGCTTGATCCCGTTGAGCAGCTGCAGCCCGTACGGCACCGACTCCTCGTGCTTGAAATTGACGAAGGCGAACTGCTTGGGTCGTCCGTCCCGGTCCTTCGGGATCTTCACGGTGATCACGGGCCCCGCCTGGCACCAGGACCGAAGGCGTTAAACAAACACCGGGGGGAAGGAACTGCCACCGAGCGCGCGCGCCGCCGAACCCTGTCCCGCGGCGGCCGCCGTAGCCCAGCCCGCCCGCCCCCCCCCCCCCCCCCCCATAGCCCGCTGTGGCAGCCGAGGCCTCTCCGCCCCGCCCGCGCCCTCCCCTGCGCACCCAGCTCGGGGCCCAGGCGGTACCTGGTGGAAGAGTTCGAAGATGAGCTCCTCGGTGACCTTGGGGTCCAGGTTGCCCACGAAGAGCGTCCGGTTCGCCTCGGCCGCCGCCGCCCCCATGGCCAAGCCCGGGGCCAGCCGAGCGCGCGCTCTCTGGCGGCCGCTCTCCGCGTGCGCGGGTGCGACGGCGTGACGTCACTGCGCGACCGCGCCTGCGCGCACGGCCCTTCCGAGGCGCGGGGCGGGGAACGGGGCCGGGTACGGGAATGAGAATTTGGAAAGGGAACGGGAATGGGAATTGGGAAAGGGAACGGGAATGGCAATTTGGAAAGGGAACGGGAATGGGAATTGGGAAAGGGAACGGGAATGGGAATTGGGAAAGGGAACGGGAATGGGAATTGGGAAAGGGAACGGGAATGGGAATTTGGAAAGGGAAGGGGAACGGGAACGGGGCCGCGGCCTCGGGGGCGTAATCCCGGCGGGACGGCCCCGCTCCTCCCCGGGGGACACGGGATGTGCGGAGTCCCGCCCCGCTGCCCCGCGCCCTCCCGGGCCTCGGGAATTAACTGATAACCTGTAATCAACTAACAACCGGCAATAAACCCCGTTTGTCGCGAGGGAATCGTGGATATGTTGCGTGTCCCGGTGTTGTGACAGCACCTGCGTCCAGGCGGTGACACCGCACGGCTGGTGCCGGGCGTTCCCCCTTTCCCTGTTATTCCTGTTGGGAAACCGAGGGGGTCGGAGCCAGCCGGTTAAAACCCGGGGCGCAGGTTAAAAACCCCCAAACGGGCTGTTTGGAGACCGGGAAGCCGCCGAGGCCCTGAATCCCGGGAGGGCTGCGGTGGTACACTGGGTGTCCCCTCCCGGGGCTCCCGACCCCTCTCTCCCTCCGAGCCCAGCCGCTCCCGTGGCTGGATCCCGTCAGAGCGCCCTTCCCGGCGACTTCACTTCTCCGAGGACTTTGGAAAGCGGCTCCCCTGCCCCTGCCGTTGAATCTCCCCAGCCACTGTAATCCCCTGGGAATCCCAGAAGATGCGGGATGTAAAACGGGCGTTTTCCATCTGGAGGAATTTCGAGAGGGGGCAGTTGAGCCTTCATTTCTCATTAGGTCCCAGCACAGCTCTGCTTTCCCTGTTAATTGGGTGCCGTTCATTCTCTCCACCCCATTACTCGCCACCGCACCTAGAATTTATATCCATTTGGATTAATCGCGTCCGCCTGGTTAAATCCCAAACAGCCACTCGTTCAGAAAGGGAGTTATTACCTCGCTTTGCCAGGACTTCCACTTTGCCTTAATTTCCCTGGAGCCTCGTTGCCTTGCTGTGCCTTCCTTCCCCTCCCCGGCTCCCCTCGGGCTCGGCTGGGAGCGTGTGACGCTCGTGTGCCATCAGTGCTCATTCCACGTGCAGGTCCTGCCGGGCTCAGGCCTGGCTCAGAGAACAGGAACCACTTCAGGTGCTTCACAGACTCGCTTTTGGAATTCTGTTGTGCTTTTTGTGTCACTGTTTTGTGCCTTTTTTGCTCTTTGAAGGAGCAAAGTGGAAAACTAGAAACATTTTTGATTTGGGGGGGAAACCCCATTTTAGCTGTCTTGTTTTCACTCTTAAAGTGCAGGCACTCAGGAATACTGGGAGATTTCAACCAGTTTCACTTGCTAATTTCAACTTTAGAAAAGGCTCTTGGTGGTTTACTTTTTCAGGGGATTTTGTTTGCTTTTTTGTATATTTATATCATTATGGCTTTCTTCCTTGCTTCCCTTGCCTGTTGGAGGTACCCAGGACAATGTGTTCATGCAAAGTCATAGAATCATGGGATGGTTTGTGTTGGAAGGGACCTTCAGCAACAAATCTTAACCATTTACCCAAAAGAAACCCTCTTGAGAACTGAGGCATGTTGAGTATGCAAATATTAGCGATTATTACATATGGCTGGGCTCGAGTATCTGTGTGATGAACCTCTGGTGTGTCACAGGTCTTAAACCGTGGGGGACAACTGTGTCTGGCCTGTGGTGCTGCGGGCAAAAGAGGTGCCCTGGGGACAGCAATCCCTCTGCCCTGCTCCCGGTGCCAGTGCCCGGCAGGTACTGCTCGCCGGGGCTGCAGCATTGGGTCAAACAACTGTTTATTACAGGTGTGCTGAAAGGATCAGCACGTGTCCTCAGCTCTGCTGGGGGCTGGGTGGGTGCAGGGCCTGCTGCTGCCCTCCACAGAGTCCTTTCCCCCCAGAGCTTCTCGGTGCAAGCCTGCAGGACTTGCCCACAAACAGTTCTGGGTCCCTGTCCCTGGGCCAGGGGGAGCCAGCACAGTTACCTCAGGCCTGGGCTGCTGGAGTGCCGGTGCCATGTGTGCCACACAAATCCATGGTTAGAGCGCTCAGGAGTTTACTTGGTGCCAGATAAAGGGTTGGGTTACATCAGCAGGACTTTTTGAGCCCAGGCTCACGGCTGTTCTCCCCCCGTGCCCTCACACTACACGGAGGGACGCCTGCGTGCCACCAGGCCGAGCGTACCCCGGCAGTCCATGCGCTCCTCGCTCACCGTGTACGGCTGCGCCTCGCTGAACGTCACCTCAAAGCCAGCAGCCTCCACAGCCGCCTCCACCTCGTGTTTCTCCAGGCGGAGGCACGAGAAAACCTGCTTGTTGAAGGCGTAGTAGGTTTCCCCGAGGACGGTCACCAGCACCAGGTGCCCCCCTGGCTTCACGAGGGTCCCGATGTTCCTCAGGGCGCTGCGGAAGGTGGGCAGGTCCTTGCAGGCGCCCTCCAGGCACAGGGTGGAGACGATGCAGTCGGCTGGTGGCAGGGACACAGCGCCCGTGGGGTTGGCTCTGGTCACGTCACACTTCAGAACCTGCTTCACCTTCTTCCTCACTTTCTCCTGTTTCTCAGCCCACTTCTCCCTGGCAAGGAAATCCACAAAAAAGTAGAGGAAGGTTCTGTGGTTATTTAACATCTGTGCCTGTGTCTCCATGGCCACTGTGGTTGGACACCAGCCTCACCTGTCCCCTTCCAGCTCACAGACGTATTTCACCACCGGCACCCAGTCAAAGGCTCCTGCTTCATTCCTCAGCCACCTCTCCAGCTCCCGGCGGTTCTGGTCGGTGTAGTCCAGGGCAATAATCTCCTGGAAGCGCTCACAAGCAGACAGAAGCTGGTAGATGGTGGGGCCACAGCCGACATCTATCAGGGTGCCACCTCTCAGCTCGTCTGGTGCAGAGTCAGGGCAAAACCATCCCAGTGAGGACGGAGCCTCCCCCAGGGCAGAGACATCCCAGAGCCCCTCGGACCGTGCTCACCCTAACCCAGAAATGTGACCCCGAGTGCCACAGCCCCACGGCACAACCCCTGTGGCTCTCTGGCCACGGTCCAGCCCAGAGACAAGTCCTGCAGCAGGTCCAGAGCCTGTGGCAGGAGCAGTGCCGGCTCCTGGGGCAGGGGCACTGACCCCACACCCCCCTCCCCCAGCTAGGTTTGATGGTGTTCCCAGAAACAGGCACAGCTCCAGCTGCAATTCCCTGTATGCACAGACGCATGCAGGCAGAGGGATATTTTTAACAGAGCAGGAGTGTGTCAGTTTATCACAGGGTCTGCTCCGTGTTGGGGCACGTGCTCTGCTGTTGGCAGCCCCAGGGCAGCCCTGCAAATGGCACCGTCCAACGGCTCCGGACACCTCGGGAGTGCTCACCTAAGGAGAACATTTTGTGCAGGCTCTTCAAGTTTTGCGTCAGAAACACATTTGCCCCTTCCCGGCTGTCACTCATGCTGTAGTATTCTTTCAGATATGCCTGAGGGTCGAAACTCTGCTGGTAAAAATCCGCCTCCGTGAAGATTGCTGGTGCGTCCATCCTGCCGAGAGCCAGCTCTGCTCCCCGCTCCGCCCATCCCACGGTGCATGGCCCCTGTTGGACTTTGAGTTTGTTTGTCCTTCCTGTGTCCTTTGCTCCAGATTCCGGCTGGACACATTCATCCGCAGGACTTACACTTGCTCCCCAGTTTCCTGCTGAGCCTTGCCTTTTCCATAATAACTCAGATTCCCCAGCAGCCCCCCAGCCTGCATGAGTGACCACAATTAATGGCAATTCCTGGGATTACAGTGCACATCCCTGGCTTCACAGTGACTGACAGCACTAAAGGAGTGCAGTGTGAGGTGTCGCTGGCAGTCACTGCCTGGCAGCCCTGTGAGCTCTGTCCCACACTGCTGCTTCCTGAGAGCTGATGGAAGTCAGTGTGTTCAGGAACATGGCACAGGGCATTAAGGCCATTAGATGTCCTGGCAGAGGACAGCTGGAGTCTCTCCTGCAGGAAGGAAGGATCTATCTCTGCCCATCCATGAGAAGCACCTGCCAAAATTTCCACTCCATTTCCATAATTTTGTTGCTTTCATTTGTTTCAGGTTTTCCTTGGAAAACTGCAATTTCACCTCTGAGCACCAGAAACCAGAATCTTCCCAGTTTCTGTGCCCGGGTTTTGCCTCTTTAGCTGGCTCTGAACCCTGTGCCCCTGCCTGTCCCATGCCGATGGGGTCCCAGCCTGCCCTGCAGCTCGCAGGACCCCCTCGTCCTCCATCCCAAGCAGCACAGAGGGCACACGTTGGTGACACCTCCTTCGCCACAAAGAGGCAGCAGAGCCCTGCGCTTCTCGTGCTGGCAGGTCCCTGCGGCAGCTCATCCGCTTCTCGCTCGCCCAGCGGGAGCCGAAATGATCAAACAGTTTTAGGCTCATTACCGACTCTGAATCTATATAATTGGCCTTTGCTTTTTTAAAGATCTGTCATTAGGAGTGACGGTGGAGGAGCCGCCGCATCATCGTCAAACTTCCAAGTGCGACTGTGGATCCCGAGGTGCGTTTGCTTCACAAACCCCCTCACTGTGCGCGGCCAGACCCGCCGCTGCCGAACCTTCTGCTGCGGATGTGAGGCGTAAAAAGGACGTCAGCTTGAGAGATGAACACAGTAAAGAGGTTTTCTTCTGACTGCAAAGCCAACAAGCAGCCCTCCCTGCTACTGCAGCGCTGAGACACGGGGCTAAAACGGTCTCTAAAGCCCCACAAGAGCCCCATCAGCCAGGCAAGCTGACCCTGGGACATTGCCAGCACAGTGCTTATGTTCCAGTCCTTAGAGACTGGTTTTGCTCACTGAGTGACATGATTTGGGGAAAAAAGTACAAACTGTCTGCACCCAGAGGTCTTGGGGTATTTCTGAGCAGGGGTAGCAGAGCATCCTGGGGCTGGCAAGCCTCGTCCTCACCACCAGCCTGGCACTGCCTGCTCCTGGGAATCATAGACTGATAGAATAGCCTGGGTTGGAAGGGACCTTAAAGATCTTCTCATTCCAACCTCACCTGCCATGGGCAGGGACACCTTCCACTAGATCAGGTTGCTCCAAGCCCCGTCCAACCTGCCTTTGAACACTTCCAGGGATGAAACAGCCACAGCTTCTCTGGGCAACCTGTGCCAGGGCCTCACCACCCTCGCAGGGAAGAATTTCTTCCTAATATCTAATCTAAACCTACTGTTTATGAATGTGAAACCATTCCCCCTTGTCCTGTGACTCCAGGCCCCTGTAAATAGTCTCTCTCTGTCTTTCTTGCAGGCTCCTTTCAGGCACTGGAAGGCTGCAATTAGGGTCAGCCCAAAGAGCCACCCCCGAGCTGGTGGCAGCCCCCCAGACAGCTCTGCTGCTCCACGGAAGCTGGGCTCCAGGCATCCAAGTTCCATTTTCCCCCCTACTCTCATTTCAATCAAAGTGTGTGATTAGGGCTGTGCAAGCTCCATTGTCATCTCCACCTAAGTGCTGCTCTGATGGATGGAAACAGCACCTCAATGTTTACACCGAGGAACATATCACTCTGCTTTCCTGGATAATGCACAAAATCTGCCACTGCAGGGAGGGGAAATCACACACACACAAAAAAAGAGCAGCCCCAGCAGAAGGCTCAGGAGGGAGGAGGGGAACCTTCCCAGCTGGAACAGCACCAGGTCATCAGCTTAACGAGGAGCACCTTGGCCTCATCCTCTCACCTGGGTGGCATCTGGGAGGTTATAAAGGGCAGGGGAGGTTGGGGGGGACTGGTTTGGCACTCGGAGTGCCTTAAGGCATTGATGGTTTAGGCTCTACATGGTCTCTGCCACCAGTACAGCTCCTGTTGGTGTCCCAGAGCCAGTTTGGGAGCACTGGGTAAGCCCCAGGCTCAACCCAGGACCTGGGCATGAGCCTCAGCAGCCCCAGGGCCAGCCCTGGGCTCGGCAGTGGCAGCACTGAAGCCCCCCAGCCTGCAGCGGCACACCCGGAGACTCTTCCTGCCCTCCTGCTGCCTCCCTGTCCCAGGAGAGAGGTAAGCCGGGGTGCTGGGGAGGGCACGTGTGCTCTGAGGGTGGGACTGAAGCATCTTTGTCACTGTTTCACATGGTTTTACTGGACTGAGCTCTAGCTGCTCCTCCGTGTTTGCAGTACAGAAAGCCCAAAAAGCAAATATCGAGTCTCAGATACTTATTGGGGAAGGGAGAAATGGTTCTTTTGTTGGAATCACTGGTTATTTGAAAAAAAGGTGGTGACAACTGTGCTCCTACAGGATAAAGTGCACGTGTTTTCCAAAGTGCAACAGCTGCTCAGGGACTTTCTGTGAACTCCACAGCTTTCTGTCATGAGCATTATTGGACCTGTAAGGGTGGGTCCATGTGCAGAGGGATGCTGGGCTGGGGAGATGGTGTGGTAGGGATATGGATCCCTTAGGGGCAGCACTGGTGCTGATGCTTTTGGAAGGTTTGGTTCAGAGTGTGTGGGCTGGTTGTTTTGGTTGTTGCAGAAAACATTTTGAGTTTTTCCGTGTATTTATGTATTGAGCTTCAAGGTTTCTGTCGGGGTCGGAAGACTCCACCCGCTGCTGTGCCTTTCCCTCTGCCCCCTTTCTACCCGGGATAGATGCTTGTCTGAGTCTCTGTTGCACCGGCATAGATATGATCTTAGTTAAACAACAAGTAATTAACACCCGGGACGCTGCTGGGCCCCCACCCAGGGTCGCTCCCCGGAGGCTCTGCCCGGAGAGGGGAGCAGGAGCAGCCGGGGCCAGGAACAAAAGGTGCCTCTTCCTCCGCGTGGTGCAGAGGATCTGGAACAAAGGTTCCCATTCCCTGCGCTCCTCTCCCTGCCTCTCGCTCTTCGATGGGGATTTAAGCCGTTCTTTTCCTGGTTTGAATTTCTCTGGGCTGCAACAAGAAAGGAGCAATTAACTGTTACAAGGCTGTTTTACAGTTCTGTGCAAACCCTTTCCATCCACTCTGCTTTAAATGGGTACATCTTTTATTCCCGGTTTTCGAGAGTGTAAAACTTTACAGCGTTTTCTGCAAACCTTCATACTTTGCTTTGCAGTTTATTGCTCCCTCTGTGGATATATCTCACTCATAAATACGGCTTCCAGCTCCAAGTACTTGACTCGGAGCCGCAGTGCCTCGGAGAGGTTCCATTAATGGGACTTTGCCTAGAAATCATGGTGTGATTCATCCCAAACCTCTGTCTCTCCTCCACCCAACAGTGCAGAGCTCTGCAGAAGCGCTGTGGCAGCAGCAGGTTGCTCAACCAGGTTATTCCTGCCCCTGCAGCAGGTCCCTATGGCTTTGGGAGATGTGGAAAGTGGCTCTGGAAAGCTTGGTGTGAGCTGGGGTGGCTTCAGGCACCACTGTAGTGGAGCCTTGGAGCAAAGGCTGCCTTAGATGGAGAGTTTCCTCTCTCTTCTAGGGATTGTTTACAGGTTATTCATTAAAAACTCTTTATTTTCCTATGATTAGCAAGGAATCTCCCTGCTCTCCATGTGCTATGAGGGACAAATAGAGAGGTTGAATGCTGAGGTTCCTGTAGGTTTAGGTCTGATGTGGATGTGCTGTCTGTGACCACCCTGTAGCTTTTATTTCCATGGGAACACTAAGAGGGGCTCTTTAACGCTCCTGCCTGGGTTCTTTTTGGAAAGTACTGGAGATGTACTGTGTTTGACATGGGCTCAGGTGTCCAAAAATGGAGGCAGACAGGTGGAGGCAGAGTGGAGTTCTGCACAGTGCTGGTCCTGCCAGGGGCTCTGGGAAGGGGACAGGGCACTCAGCACCCAGGCAGGGGTGGTGGCCCAAGGGGAGGAGTGGGGGGATTGGTTCCTGCTGCAGACCCCAGCCAGCTGCTGTTTTTCCAGGACTGCCATGACACAAAGGATTCAGAAAGGTGTGGGATATTAAGTGCAGCTTTCAGAGCCCCATGTGCTACGTGGTAATTTTCTTGCATTACGGCAATGGTGGCTTTAAAACCGCCCTCCTCCCGTCCCTGTTAACAAAACACGATGCATTTCCCAGGGAAGTGTTCAGGGCCGATTTGGTTGGTGTCCAGGATTGCAGCAGCACGGTGTGTTTGGGTTAATGGAGCTGTGCTGATGTAAACACGGCCTCTGTGGAAAGGATGGCACAGGGTGGGGGCTGCTGTCGATTGGCACCACGTGTGCCATGCCTGGTCATCAAAAGCGGGATGCCTTGTGCCACCCCTTTGAGCGTCCCACAACTGGACTAAAGCTGCTTTTCCAGGGAAGAATAAGGTCTCTTTAAAAAGGCATTGGTTGTCTGTGTCCATCCCCAGAGCCAGGCTGGGTGCTCCCCACAGCCCCCCGGGAGCGCGGGCTGGAAGAGGGAGGGGAGCAGGGCGGGCACACGTTGGCAGCGCCGCGTTAGCGGATGGTTTATGGGACCATTTGCCGGTGCCGGTACCTGCAGCCGAGGCTCCAAATGTCAGAGCTGGGCGAGGGAACAGGTGGGCTCTGCACATCTCCAGGGCCCCACTAATTCACAGGCAATAAATTAATGATGGGAACGGGGA